TGTTTGTTTTCGCTGGCAGAGTGCTTGGGCCACCACAGGCGCCCCTGACATGAGTGATGTTGAGTGGGCCACACCCACCCTGGCCACGGCCACTCTGGCTCCCTGACGTCAAACACAACCCTAATGCAGCCCACAATGAAATCAAGTTTGACACCCCTGTTATACCGTTTCCCTGAAAATAAGACCTCCCCAGATAATAAGCCCAATCGGGCTTTTGAGTATATGGGCTAAAATAAGACCTCCCCCGGAAATAAGCCCTCCCCCAAAATATTGCAACACAGCAGCAGCCATGAAGTGACCATGCTCGCCTGCCTCTTGCACCTCAAAAATAATAAGACCTCCCTGAAAATATGGCCAAGCACTTATTTTGACAGTCAAAAGAAAATAAGATCCTGTCTTATTTTCAGGGAAACGGTATAACAGGGGTGTCAAACTTGATTTCATTGTGGGCTGCATTAGGGTTGTGTTTGACGTCAGGGAGCCAGAGTGGCCGTGGCCAGGGTGGGTGTGGCCCACTCAACATCACTCATGTCAGGGGCGCCTGTGGTGGCCCAAGCACTCTGCCAGCGAAAACAAACACCCGAGCTCCACTTCCACTGCAATGGCCTCCTGAAACCCTCTGCCAGTGAAAACGGAGTTCGGGAGGGCAGCATGTGGCCCTCCCAAGCTCGATTTTCCCTGGCAAAGGTACTGTGGGCCAGTCCTTTGCTGTTCCCAGGGTATCCCCAAGGGGCAAATCTAAACACCCCAAGGGCTGGATCCAGCCCCAGGCCTTGACTTTGATAGTTACTCTTATATAGTAACCTCATGCACAAATGTATCACAAATGTATCACAGCAATTTCCACCTTAAAGGGAGAGAGAAAACTATACACCTAAGAAAACATACCAGATCCAGAACCTGATGTTGTCATGTCAAAAATTAGATCTTTGAGAGATTTTCCTGGGTTCACTAGATTACACTCAGAGAGAGGTTCTTCAATGTTTGGCCTTCTTTTTTTTCTGTGTCTGCAGAGGTGTCCTTGGCATGTGTAGGCTGCCAGCAGTAAAATAATGGACAACACACACACCGGTATGGTTATAACTACAGTCAGCTCCACAGGTCCTAGTTTTGATTTGTTTGAAGGTTCTTGACCTTGAAAACACACAGAGAAATAAAATCAGAATTGCAATTTTTAACCTTCAGAAAAGATTTCAGTGCATATTTTGGAAGGATTTACATTATATTTTGCTGTTAAAAAAAACCCTGATCTTGGCTCCACTTAATGGAGCTTAAATAAGACAGAAAAATTATAAGATAAAGCAAATGAAACTAAAATGAGATGGAATATTTTATTCATTCGCTGTTTCTCAGGCTGTTGGCCAAGTAGACCTCTAGTGTTAGGTACAGGATATATTTAGCTTCCAAATAAGTATATGTGAAAGGATGCTAGCTAGAGTGGAGTGGATAAATGAAGCTTTATTTATTTGAGTTGAAGCTTTCATTCAGCTTTACAATAATATGCACCCATGTTTGCAACAGCAAGAAAAACATCAAGAATAAGAACAGTTACCCACTGAGGAGGTGGATTCCCTTCACAGGACATGTTCAAGAAAAAGCTGGACAGCCATAGATAATGCATTGCTTAATTATGATTTCTGTACTACACAGGGTTAGACATTGTGCATTAAATGGCTTTTTTTAGCTCTACAGTTCTATTGTTATCTACCTCTTCTCGGGTTCTTTCCTTGATTACTGGTATAACCTGACATATTCCAAAAGTGTAGAGTCTATTTCCATATACTGAATTAACTCCAAGTTCAAAGGGGTAATTGTGGGTAGAGAAGACCCATAACAAGTCACCTCCAATACCCCCTCAAGAGCACAAGAAACCATGTGATGATAGGTTACTGTCACAAAGAAAGAAAGAAAGAAAGAAAGAAAGAAAGAAAGAAAGAAAGAAAGAAAGAAAGAAAGAAAGAAAGAA